CTCTACAGTAGGTTAGATAGACAATATGTTTAATTAAGTTACAACAGGTATCGAACCCTACTTTATAGACTACATCAGGTTACTTGACCATACATTCTAGACTATATAAAGTTACTCTACAGTAGGTTAGATAGACAATATGTTTAATTAAGTTACAACAGGTATCTAACCCTACTTAGATTACATCAGGTTACTTGACCATACATTCTAGACTATATAAAGTTACTCTTCAGTGGGTTAAGTAAACAATATGTTTGGTTAAGTTACAACAGGTATCTAGCCCTACTTTATAGACTACATCAGGTTACTTGACCCTACAGTCTAGACTATATAAAGTTACTCTACAGTGGGTTAAATAGACAATGTTTAATTAAGTTACAACAGGTATCTAGCCCTACTTTATAGACTACATCAGGTTACTTGACCATACAGTCTAGACTATATAAAGTTACTCTACAGTGGGTTAAGTAAACAATATGTTTAGTTAAGTTACAACAGGTATCTAGCCCTACTTTATAGACTACATCAGGTTACTTGACCCTACAGTCTAGACTATATAAAGTTAATCTACAGTGGGTTAAATAAACAATCTGTTTAATTAAGTTACAACAGGTATCTAACCCTACTTTATAGACTACATCAGGTTACTTGACCCTACAGTCTAGCCTATATAAAGTTACTCTACAGTGGGTTAAATAAACAATCTGTTTAATTAAGTTACAACAGGTATCTAACCCTACTTTATAGAACAACCATATACAGTTTATATTGTGTTACCTGAACACAGTTCCTTACGACAAAAACCGTGACGTGTATTTCAGGGCTGTATTACTAGCTGTTGATGAGAACAAACTGAGTATAAAAGCTGTATAGTGGACGAGGTGCATCCTAGATCACGTGTCTGTTTGAATCGTACACTCTGAAACATCTACATTAATAATACAAGTTTCAGTTTTAGATAGATTTTCTAATCTTAATATATATGGCGTTATGCATTCATTTCTACCACCTGCTTTGCCTTCTAAACAAATATCTAATCAAGAAAACATTAAGACTCAGACGAGGCGCATGCGTAGAGTGGATTATTATAAATCTTATTAAGATATATACTTGGATGTTACGAAACAATATCACTGTAACAGTTGTGTGGATGACTCTCATAATTAAAAGGACGATGTTGACCTGAAGATGGATTACCGTATCGAAATTTTGTCATTCTTCAAAAAGATCCTGTACATTCTGTACACTTGACTTCTTATTGACAAAATACCAAGATAATTTAACACTTCTGGTTAGTTAATGTTTTGTGTTAATGAAAATAAATGTTTCTATCAAATTGGTCATCATAAAAAATATATTTTAAGTTCAACAAGTAAGTCATGTATTTCTTAGCGTCAGAACTTTTTTTTTAATTACGATTCGACTAACATGGCTTCCAGCAAATCAAAACATCCCTATGGGTGATATGGTGCTGATCTGAAATATTTGATCCTAGACTTCATTCTCAACACGAAAAATATAATAAAGTACATTATTGATATATTATTTTCTAGGTTTCCTTGGCACCATTATTTTTATCCACCACATTGCACCCAGGAAGAACGTTGTTACCCTACTTAAATTAGGAGCGTCATTTCAAAAGCAAATTATGGATCTGGGGGCAAGGTTGAATCAGAATATACAAAACAATCTCTGCATTGTACTTTTTATTTGTTTTGTGAAGAAAACTTCAATCAACTTATTTGTGATTGTACTATATCCTGCAATATATATACCCCATAGCTAATGACGCCCTTGACTTAGTAAAAACAAACCCAAGAAACAAAAATGACACTGCTTGGCACTTTGGGACCATGGGAAAAACTTCTAAAATGAAAGTTTGTTTGATTTGAAATTGATCAACGATATTTCTTTTGTCAGTGATGCATTTGATATGTTTTTGTTATTATTTAACTAAATTTGTGAGGTCGTGCTGTACAACTGACAATATTTATTGCGAATGGTAACAGTCGGGAAACATGCCAAGCTGTACAACTGACAATAGTTATTGTGAACGGTAACAGTCGGGCAACATGCCAAAATTTCTATTTATTTCCTGTCTCCAGCTGGCTCAACGGTAAAACTGGGAGCTTCATACAATATAACTCAAGGTTTGAACCCCGCGATTATCATCGTAAGAAAAGTCGTTTCCATGAGACGTAAGATGAATGGTTAACTGATATAATTATAAATTTTATTATTAATCTGTAATCTCGGTGATCATTAGGCCTCACCACAGAAATAAACGAGGCCAAACGAAGGTTGAGTTACTCCATTAGCAAGGATTTGATCTATAGTACCTGTTTTGTTGCCCAGAAAGAAATACTGTTTGTGAGACACTATAGACAGCTTTAAACATCTGTAAGTTAAAGTTAAATTTAAACATGAACAGTTGGGTGCTATATAAAATCAAACTCCCCTTTGTTTATAGGTTTGTGCATCAAGGTGGGTGGAACATTGTCAGATGACATTCTAAACAGTATTTCACTCGAGAAATAAGTACCAAATATATTTTTGAAGCATAAAAAGTTAATAATGTGGTTTTTATATCCTACAAGGGTTTCTCGTCTAAAACATTACTGGATCAAGTTTGAAAATAACTTCTTGCATAATTCAGTTTTTCAAGATATATTTGATATCTATATCATTTCTTGGAATCAAGGTTTTGGAACACGTTTTCTGAGAAGCTGCCTGATGGGGGAATCTAAAGGGAGTGACAAGAAATATTTGCGTGCAGTAGTCAGGAAAAAACAAGTACAAATCACAACTGCACCTCCAGTACTCCAGACATCTGGGATTTCTCTGAAGAGTAGCAATTGCAACAAGTAAGCAAAGAAAATGGAACCGCTACTTCGAAGAACAGAAACTAGGATAGCCTGCTCAGATTGAAGTGCCTTTGTGAATAGAATTTGTACGATAAAACTAAGAAACCCCAATCCGAGAATAAGCCACTGATCAAGGCCACATGAGATAGAAGAAAATCCTCCAAACACAAGTGTACCAACTGTACAAACTATAACACCTACCCATCCATAACTGAACAAAATAACTGAATGATGAACATCTTTAACCTTACGAATAACTATATATACTAAAGAGGCAAATATTCTAGATCCTAAAGCCATAGCAATACCAAAAATACGTACTCCAGTTGAAACATCGATAGATTCTTCACTTTGTAGAAACTGGAGTGGTAACTTAGTCATTAATGTAATTCCAAAAATGGTGAAAACTATCAAAATACTTTGAAACCAACCACAAGGTTCATTTAGAAAGATCCTTGCAAAAATGGCCACGAAGATCGGATCACTCAACTCGATCACTGAAACATCCGCGATGGGAAGGAAATGATAAGCATAAAACCTCAAAAATAAAGCAAGTGATCCAAATATTCCGTGAAGAAACACCATAAGTCTGACATCCCTTCGAACAAACGGTTCTTGTTTAGAGTGTATTAGTAACGGTAAACTAAAGATATGAATTCCAAGAAAACGAAAAAAGGCCTTTTCTCCTGGATGTACATTCTGTAAATGTCTCACAATAACAGCATTTAAAGAGAAAAATATGGTGGAAGATAAAGTAAAAATCACTCCTTTTAAAAGTTTGGATTTCTTATTGTTTTGGAATGTACTATTTTTTACATTAGAAGAGACTCCTGTCTCGTCGATCTCAAACTCTAGTTTTGGATCAGAGGACTCTTCTTCCAAACTGCTTCCTTCCTCTTCTAAACAGGAGTTGTTCTGAAGGATACCATCTTGAGGGCTCTTCATCTGATCTTCTTGGTAGACTTCGAACTGCAGCGCTACTGCAAACTGTGAACAATTGTAATATTAGCCACCAGGTTATTTTACAAATACATCAATAAGACATCTTTAATGGATCTGTATTTATCCTCATGAGGTTATTAATTTCAAATTTTGAGAAAAAATTATATATATGTATACACAGCGTGGTAACAAGTAAATAGACACCACCTTTTCAAAAAAATTCACATATTCACATGAGTTGATATATTTATAATTTAATTAATATCTAGTAGAGCTTCCTTTTGCTTCGTGGAGTTCCTTGATCCTTTGGGTTATCGTGATAATCATCTCGACAATTTTAGATTGTGGGATTTTCGCCCACTCTTGCTTCAAAACTTGGAGTAGATCGCTATTCGAAGTTGGTTTTTTATTGTTGTTGTTTCTTGACTTGCCGGTCGAGTATGGCCGAAATGTTTTCGATGGGGTTCATGTCAGGAGATTGGCTCGGCGAATGCAACTTCTGGATACCATTTTCTTCCTGCCATTTTTGGGTGTTTTTAGCAGTGAGACACGGTGCTCCATCTTCCTGGAACAACGTCGTGTTTTTGTCCACGAAACCCGAGGAATAAAGTGGCAAGAGTCCTTCCTCCAATATTTCGAAGTATTTCGCAAAATTTATGTTGCTAACGCACTCCACTAAGCTCGATCTCCCACCAACCCAAACAGCTCCCCAAACCATCACGCTGAAACCACCATGCTTCACAGTTGGCTGCAATCTGTTGAGCCAAAACTCTTAGTGAGACATTCTCCAGGCCCATAATATTCCACTGTCCGAAAATTGAGCGAATCTTGATTCGTTTGAGAATAATACGGTCTTCTAAAAGTCCAGAGGCTTGATCATCATATCACTTGCCCACTTCTTTCGCCTGACTATGTTGGCATGTCTTAATAAGCGCTTCCGTCTAGCTGCTCTTCAACGATAACCCAATCTGTGGAG